ATTGTCCTTGTGCTTTGCTTGTCACTCGGCTGGTTGTGTAACATGATTAGAATTGTAACACCAAAACAATGAACCGGAAGATGCAAAAACTCATTGTAAAGCTGAAAGAAACTGAATAACTGTTCAAAGTGTTTAGTTGGTTTAACTGTAGTGACAACCTTTCCATTGCAGTTATATATTAGTGGTATATTTTTCATTAAAACAGCTTTAAATTAGAATCCAACTTGGGTGTCTACAGCAGGGGAAACAACCTGATGGCTCTTGTGTCTCTTGTCTCAATAGAAAATTGCTGCTAAAACACAGTGTGTCGCTGTGATGAAACATCCATATGTGATTTTAGAACATTTTCAAGAGGAGCAAGTTACACCAATTCACCCTCAGAGGACAAACACACAAATAGAGTCATTATTCACAAGATTGTTTCATTTTACAAAGCAGAAAGATTATACTCAGAATGGATCAACATGATGATAACAGATGGCATTCTTGTTGTGGAAGGCAAGGTGAGATTAAAAAGAAAGACGGAGTAAGCAGGAGTAATACTGTGGCAGAGCTGCGCATTTCAAAACAACCGACCACTTTTCCTGCTGATTTACATCAAAAAACGACTCATCTGTCTACACTCTGTGATTTTCTCAAATGTGATGGCAGGAGTCATGGCAGGCCTTTTTCAGATGTGCTGAAAACTAACTTTGGCTATTGATTTGATAACTTCAACACCCCTCTGAGGCGATGCGTTTTTAAAGGACCATTGACACTACATGGAAGCTTAAATGACAGCAGAGCGACTGATTAAGCTCGACTTGAACTGCGTTCTCCACAGAGATGTTCCAATTCAGGGAGATGTCTATTTACAGATATTTTAGGATGTGACAGAAAAAGTCTTATCTAAGAAGCTTTTACAATCAATGTAATACAGCTAGATTCACAATTTGTTGTACAAAGAGACACTTTTCATAGTTTTGACCCTGTAAACTACCACAGTGGATTTTAAATCAATCAGTATGGAATGGAAGTGCAGACTTCCAGGTTTGATAATTACATTATTGCAGTGTTTATGTGCATTAACCATTTTTAAGAGGCTCAAAAGTAACTGGACAACTGAATGACTAGCAGTTGCATTGACATACGAGGCCTGTTCCCTTTTAATTTAATGACCACGCAGGAGTAATAAAGTTTATTCAAAGCATTGAATTTGTATTTTATAGCTTTTCACTCTAATTTTAAATATGACATCCATGCAAGTGAGAAGGGCCATCATCAGGCTGGAAAGAGGGATAGTAACAATCTGCTTCTATCATTAAAAGAAGTAATGCACCGGCCTACTAATGACTGAATTACTTCCATGGTTGAGAAAAAGAACTCAACTTCTAAACAAGTCATGAACACTGCCAGAGAGGTAAGCGTGTTATTGTCAAAGTCTACAATCATGAGATCAAATCATGGAAAAGGAGAGGAACAGTTCATGATCCAAAGCAAACCACATTATATGTCTAGCATGGTGGAGGCAGTGTTATTGCATAAGAAGAACAGGATCACTAGTGTTTATTGTTGATGTGACTGCTGACAGAAGTAGCAGGATAAAATCTCCAATTCTGCTCAAACTCAGAAATTAGATGTTCTGTCAATGTCTCAGTCTCAACAAATGCAAAGAGACCCACAAACAAGCAGCAACACAAGGTGGCTGTAGTAAAGACCTGGCAGAGCATCTCGATTTTGGAAATGCAGCATTCGGTCATGTCCATGGGGTCTGATTGAAAAGATATTCATCCAAGTATTTAAAACAGTCCTTACACTGAAACTCATGGTAGTCTGTCCAATTAGTTTTGAGCCTCTGAAAATGGTGAACTTTGTATAAAAATTACAGTTATTCCTGAACAGTAAATGTAACAATTTTTGTTGTTGTTGTTGATCATTTGTTTTAAAATCCACTGCACATCCTGTGCAAATCAATTCTGTCAACAGTCCCAGAGCAGCTGAATCAGCAAAAACAGCTGCAACACAATTTGAATATAATAAACATTATGAAAGCAGAAGTGTTGTACTGGATTAGATTTACATTAAAAAGTGTAAAAAGTGCTTTGAGTTTAAGGCTAAAATAAACTGTAAAAATCCAGCGAGCTAGTTCAGGCAGGCAACGTGAGCTGTGCTTCGTCATGAACACTAACATGCCTCATCTTCCAAACACCACCTCCCAGCTTTGGTGTTCGAGTTGAGCTGCAGAATCTCCAATCACGTGTCAATTCCACTGCTTCTTTTTTTTTCTCAACCCCACCGCCACCCCAACATACACCTGTGCTCAGAGTCGGTTTTTTGTTGGGGGCAAGGGAAGGGCGACCAGACAGGAGGAGCTCCAGAGTTGTTGCTACTATAGGAAAATGCTGCCACCGCAAACAGGGAAGACGATGCAGATAAGAGGAGAAAGAGACCTTCCTACACTTCTCTAAATGTATCTGTTATGCTAGGAGATTTTATTATTATTATTATTATTATTATTTGCAAAAAATAAATTATAGATGACCTGGAATTGTCAGCGAGAAGAGTGTGGCGTTATCCTTAAATCCTTATCCTTATTATTATTTTAATATTGATTATTATTATTATTATTATTATATTTCACTTTCACACAAGTGTTGTGAGACTTCATGTTATCTTTCATATCAAAACAATTATAAAAAAAACAACTTACAGAACATATTTAGTTTTGTCCGATTTCCCTGTGGCTCCTCTGTTTCCCTCCGATTGCTGGTGTAAGATTAAAGAAACATTAATACAATGAAAGGAGGCTAACAGTCAGAATTCTGGCTGTGTGGCTACTCTTAAATATATCTAATTTTACAAATTACAAGTGAAATGTGTTGCGTAAATTACTTGCAGCCTCATCAGGAGGTTGTGGACTGTTCTGGGCATATACATTTGCACTTTAAAATGACCCCTAGCACTGCAGCTGTATTTTAAAAGTGTGGTTTGGGAAGCAGAGCAGGTTGTCTCCTACTGTACTCCTCCAGTCTGCATGTTAAAGCATCCTTGGGCAGGATACCAAACCTCAACTTCTTCCCAATGCATGTATCCGTGTGTGAGTGCATGAATGTTTCTTATGCTTGCACAGAGTGCTTGATTGGCTTGAATGAGGCTTGTAATGAAAAGTGCTTTGAGTGCTCAGTTAGAGCAGAAAAGTGCTATAGAACTACCAGTTCACTTACTCGAGGCAAAGTGGAGCACTAAGCTAAATGTTGTTGCAAGCATGGCAGTTATAACACTAACGTAAGTTTCACATGTGCCCTGCAGTACCGAACTTTTTTAGGCAGAGCTGTGTGTGAAAATGCAAATGTCCAACACATGGTGTTAAACCGACAGCTTCCTCTTACAGTCTGTGTTATGTCCGATTGTGCAAATGTTAGAATAGCATTGACAGTTATCTGTTAGGTAGGCTTCATCTGTCTGTGCTGCTTCCTGTGCACTCTATCCAGGAGGTTCCCTCAGCTAAAGCAGAGTACTTCTAGTAGTATGTGTGTGAATGTAAGAAAGGACATCTGTGAATGGTCTACTTCCCCTGACATTATCATGAGTGCAAATGCCATTTTACCATTTTAATTTAGAAGCTGAAAGAAGAGTCTGCAGGAATTTCCACACAAAAATTCTGCACTTCAGCTAGAGTGGTTTCACTGCAGTCTGCAAAGATAGTGAGTGTCTGCACCGAATTCCACTTTTCCACAGCAAACAGTTGTTAAAACATTTCATCTCTAGACACAAATGGTAACATCATGGTGACACTAGAAGAAAAATCTTTAAAGGTACGTGAAAAATTATTTTTTATGTAGGTTGTTTAACAGAAATGAGAATTTTGTAATCATAAATATACACTGATCATGTAATCTGGTCTTCCAACCAACTGATGCATTCTCATAAATTTAAAAACATAGAAGTAGCTGCCATGTTGAATATAGTAGCCAGGATGAGGATTTCCATTCTGTATAATCATGTTTTATGTACATGTTAAGAAACCAGTCGCACGCAGTACATAAATAATTAACTGGTAAAGTGTATTTAGTGTACCTTATATGTTAGCTTTAATTCTGAGGTCACAAAAAGTTATTTCAAACTATATATGACCATTCAACATCTATCTATCGAGCTAAAGTTGGAACCCTCCCATTTCGGGACAGCTGACAACCAGCTGACTAAACAACAACATCTGGTTATAAGCTAATATTATGCCAGCTAATGTTATGCCTCCGATAAACAGTTTGATTCTAATATCATATTAATTTATTAACTAAGAGTCCAACCTTGTTAAATCCACTTCAAAGAAAGTTGCCGGCTAACAGCAAACAACACAAGCAAAGTTCAGGCTATCACCAACAATTCACCTCACTGTCATCTGACAGACGTTTGCTTTACGGACTCATCTACATAGGCCATCAGGAGGCCATCAGTCCAATAGATGTGGACAGATCCTGACAGGTGAAGTAAACAGCAGACTCAGTCTAGGCTGTCATGAACCCAAGTTGTTTCGTCCTACAGCGGCCACTGTAGCTCGGATTGTGCATTTGAATAAGTAGGGGTAAGAAAACAGAATTGAGTTGACTGCAATCTGCAATTACTGACCTCTACTGGTGACATTTAACACACTTTACCTTTAACATTTTGTGGGATCCACGAATGTTTGTATGAAATTCTGTGCCGGTTTATTCAGAAGAGATAGGGACACAGTTTTAGAAAACATCATATAAAAAAAAATCATAAAATCTCCAAAGTCCAGAAAGGGGACTGCCATGTTTAAGGAGCTGCCATAACACCAGGTGCCCCTCATGATCCAACCCCAAAGAGCTTTGTGTCTCTTCCCAGAGACCTGATAGGTGAATGTGTAAGCCACTACACTGTGGAGCCTTTCAGTCACTGTCACATACAGATGGTTCAAAGACACGTGGCTTTAGTTACACAACCATAGTTTATTACTGATGTCATCACTTACACAGACAATGGAAGTGTCAGCGATACCTACTAAAAGGTGATCAGAAAATCATACTTGAGTAACTAGTTGAAAACAGCTTCAGGACCGCTGCTGTCAGATGCTGTTTAATTTACACTAAACTCTTGTCAAAAATTCGAACTCCCGAGCCATATTCCAAAAAAGATTAATACTAATAATAATAATGATAATAATAAACAATATATTTTAAACTGATAAAAGTGGCTTGAAATGACAGGATGATTTTCAGAGGACCTTCAGGCCACACATGGTTTCCTCTTGCTGTCTGGTAACAGCTGGTAGGTTTGACCAGTTGGTGCCATTTTTTTTTAAAGTGCTGGTTTCATGTAACATGTCCTTGTTTTAGCGTTTGGGTTGAATTCCTCTTGATTGTGGCTGTGTATCTCTATGAAAACCACCCCATTTAAATATATTTAACCCATATTAAACTTTTCAAAGTACACTCTGTTAGAGAAGAAAGCCACGATGCATTTTGTGTTCGATATTTGCAATGCTTATACGACATACTGACTTGCTGTTCACCCTGGACAACATGTGATGCAAAAAAACCTGTGAACGAGGTATTACTCTATAAATAACATATAGGCAAAGTTCACCGTTGTATTCTACTACAAGCAGCACAATGTCAGATTAAATCCTGTTGTCCGGTAAGGCTAGTCATACGGAGTCCTTTGAAAAGGAACGCTGAATGATCAGTACTTTTAATGGGATCTGCTCCTCTTTTTGATGTCCATAGAGTTCAGGAAGAAGCATTCAAAGTTTTCCAAAGTTTAACTGCACTCCAGAAGAAAGGATGTCTCTATTTACAGAAAGGTCCTTTGCATTACTCTCTTCTCCTTTGATGATCCCGCGGGCCAGAACTGTTGGTTCAACCTAAATCAGAAGAGAAACCTAATGAAACAAAGTCAGAGCCAGGACAGCTGCAGAATCATCAAAACATCACCTATGAAAGAGTTACAGAACATAACATTATTTTTTATATATATAGACATACAGTATATAATTGTCTGAGGTCACAAGAGGAAAAAAAATGGAACTGCACAGAACTGAAAAGCATAGCCACCAGTTATAAAACTAAACTTTATCAACCGAATGCTCCCGCCTACGCTGATTGACATGTCAAAGATGTTGGCAAAGCAACAACAGAATCAGATGCATTATTCAAATCTCGAAGCCCTGATTTTTCCATTCTTGCTGCTTACTTTTGATGTTTGACACTGTGAGGAAACAGATTTCATCTTCACAAGAAAAATGTTTAAAATGGTCTGAAAGCCCCACAAGAACATCGCTGTGTAGGTTGATTCTGTTCATCTGGAGAAATGCTACGTCCAGATGCATCAAGACATTGCTGTGTAGCTATGACATAACCTGTTATATGATTTATAGGACTAGAACCCTGGCACATTCAGCACCATCCAAGTAACAGCCTCCAGGGTGGAAGTGCCAAAAATTGTAGTACCTACATTGGCCACTTGAGGCAGGCTCTAAAAATGACCCAATCACCATGATTGCTGAACTTGCTAAATGGACACAAGCAAAACATTTTTTTCAAACCTGACTGAAGCTGCTTTTTAACATAGCAACAAAACAGAGAGAAAGCAGGAAGCTTAACAAGCAAGCACAATGCAAACTGCATCTAGACTCAAGAGCAGCAGGGCTGTGTTCTCTATGACGAATCATGCTTCTCCGTCTGGCAATCTGATGGACGAGTCTGGGTTTGGTGGTTGCCAGTCGAATGACCGTTGTGTGACTGCATTGTGCCAAGTGTAAAGTTTGGTGGAGGGGGATTATGGTGTGGGGTTGTTTTTCAGGAGTTTGGCTCGGCCCTTTAGTTCCAGTGAAACAAACTCCTAATGCTTCAGGAACAGTTTGGGGATGGCCCCTTCCTGTTCCAACATGACTGTGCACCAGTGCACAAAAGAATGTCTCCATAAACACATGGATAATCCAGGGGTCTGTACAATTAAGGTTGCAACAAGAGACATAAAAGGTGAAAAAAGAATTAAGCTAACGGTAAATATTGTTTATCAGCATGATGTTATGTCCTTTTGAAATGGCCATCGAAAGGCAAATGTGGATGGACATGTGCTCAAGTGAATTGGGTGGATACCAGTGGCTGAAGCACCTAGTAACTCTTACCACCAACGTAGATACCCTCAGAAAGAAATCATGCCTGGTTTTCAAAGTAAGAATGGTAACAGTAGCTTTCCACTGCTTCAGAGAGTGGGATTGTTTCTTCTAGACTGGAAAGTTGTTGATGCTAATCTTTGCCATGTGCTAACCGTCTAGCTGGGTTTCTGCAAGAAAACTTGTGAGACTCAGTGACTGAGATCAGCAAGGTCGAGCGAAACATTGCAGCTGAATAATATGGCGACATCCCGTTGCTATAGCTCTAATTGTGTGTCACAGACAGAATAGGTGCCAAGGATTAGGTAGCCGCTCTTCACTTCTGTAAAAACACAGTGGGGGACAGAAAGGAGTGGGGAGTTTATCTTCCACCTCCAGCTAGAGAACACAGTCACATTTAATTGCATTCACCTATAGCAATGGATGATTCAGCTTAAGGTAATTAATTAGTGGGCATAAGTGGACAGATATCAGCTAAACAGATAAAATGCTTTAAGTATTTACATTTTCTTTTAGTCCTGTTTCCTTTATTAACTTCTTTGTTAGTTTTTTTTAGCTTTTTTTTTGTGTAATTAGTTTAAAAATAGGCCAATAAAATGCTTAACAGTAGCCTTATATTAAAAATTAGAAATTATCTTTAAAATATTACCACTGCTTAGGCTGAGCAGTAGTCAAACAATAATAATGCAATCATGTGATAGCTATCTACTATCTAACTGTTAACTGGGGAGTGTCGGACCATCTATAAATGAATTATATTAAGTCTATCTAGTGCTTAGGTCACAGGTTTGGAGCTTATTCCACATGCTATAGCGCAAGAGGTGGGTCAAAACGACCCCAACCTCTCACATCCACATCTAAAGCTAATTCACAGCCAACAATTAACCCAACAAGTATTTCTATGGACTTTTTTCAAGGCTTTTTGTCAATTTTTGTCAAACTCCGCTTCAGGTCCCAAAGTCAAATGAACACTGTAGCATCACTGAGAGTTAAAAACTGTCTAAATTCTTTCATCCGTAATAAAATGATCAGCGTTGCTGCTTTACCAGGTGTAACAATTAAGTTTAACATCCAGAGTTAGAAGTTAGCAGGAAGTTAGCTCGCTAGTTTCCACCTAAACATGACATAGCATGTTCTGACGGAGAGATTTCTGAAAAATTCAATCGTACAGCTCTGCTACGTGAAGACAGAAAACTAAACAGCAGTGACGTTTCTAGGTTTACTGAAGTCGGGCTAGCTGGTATATAATGATGTGTTACATGGTGGCTAGCTACCATGTACAGCTACATAATTACATGGTAAGGTTTTGAAAACTGAGCTTTAAAATGAACAGTGGTAATAAAAAGCGAGAGAGGCCGGCAGTGATCACTGAATGTTTTTAGGGGCTTGTTCAGATTGAATAGATTAAGAAAGAAAACATTAAAAATGTTAAAAGCACAACAGCCTTAATAAACGCAGAGTAATTTGGACTCGGAAGCAGGGTTCATGCTTCATCACTTAAAGTTGACCTTGAAGACCGTGATGGATGTAAGGTAAAATTTAGTAGTAGTTTTGCCTAGCATGACCCCCTTCTACACCCCTCAGAATTTATTCAAAATTTTTCAGGCTATCATGTTTACATACAGAATGACAGGCATGCAAATCCTACCAAAAACATAACCTCCTTGGTGGAGGTAATAACATTTGGTCTAAAACCCCTTTACCTACTTGTGCTATGAAATGTGAAAACTCTTTAAATTATTCCTGTACAATAAATGAGCATAAGGTCTGTGTGCTTTTTATGCATTTACTATATAATGAAAGATTAAACTGGTAGGACTAAAAAACTGGTCTGTATAGAGCCAGAGATTTTCGAGGCTATATGAGAGCTACAATATAATCACCACAACATTCAAACTGAGTGTAGTGCACACTGGACCAAGTTGGCTGGTATTCCCCTTTCATGAAGAAGAGCAAGCATTTAACATAACATTAGATGTAGTGGTGGTGTAGTGGGCAGTATGGTGGTTAGCACTGTTGCAGCAAGAAGGTCCTGAGTTCAATTCCACCATCAGGCCGGGGTCTCTCTGTGTGGAGTTTGCATGTTCTCCCCGTGTTTGCGTGGGTTCCCTCCGGGTACTCCGGCTTCCTCCCACCGTCCAAAGACATGCAGTTTGTGGGGATAGGTTAATTGATTAATCCAAATTGCCCATAGGAGTGAGTGTGAATGGTTGTCTGTCTCTGTGTGTTAGCCCTGCGACAGACTGGTGACCTGCGCAGGGTGTACCCTGCCTCTTGCCCTATGACAGCTGGGATAGGCTCCAGCAACCCTGAGAAGCAGATGGATGGATGGATGAGATGTAGTGTTATATAAAAATACTGGATACTTGCTGCAGTTGTTAGTAGCAGTTGGCAGCCACTTCTGCCAGTGGTTCAAAACTCTGTGCAGCAACTCCTGCTGATGTGAAACACATCTGGAGCTCTTTCAGATTAGTCTTCTTCCTGTTCCTAAAAACTAACAGCCTTTTGTATCTGCATAAATTGTTATCACAGTGCTGTACATACAGTGCAACATGAGGAAATAAGATGCTGGTGGGTTGTTTCCGAGTTCTCCGCTGTGACATACTGCAAAGACCTCCATTCTCCTTGAGATTAAATTGCCTGTCATGAAGCTCGGCAGCTGACTGGCAGCTCCTCTGCTCCTCTAAAAGTACATTCTGGAAAAGACTCGAGGAGCCTAGCATAACAACCTTCATAACGACGTCCCCTATCAATTCCAACCGCCTGTCAGGCGCCACGTAGGTTTGACGAACTGAAGGAAGCCATTGGCGGACTTGTAAGGCCCCCATTATTGATGCTGAACTTCTGACAGGAAACAGACAGCTCTGACAGCCTGGTTAGATTAATTCACAAATGGTCTGTTTGATGAAGAATTGGGCAGAGCAGCATGGCGATGCATAGTTTTATTTTAATCATCCACAATTATGCAGGAAAGGAAAACAATCCAAGAACCATCAGGCCACCACTTGACAAGAAAACCAGCATAATCACATCAAGCAGAGAGTGAAGAGTTTCCATAAGTTCAGGTGGTTGCACCACTTTGCTGGTCGCTGAACAAGCTTGAGATAAATTCTTCCCTCTTTTTTATAGAGCCATTTATATTCAGGGCTGTCATTGTGATTAATGTGGTACTAATTTGAGAATAATTTCAGGCTGAAATGACAAAGAGCAAAGTCATTTCTTGTCAGGAGAGAAACTGTCTTCAGAGATGGATCTACGCTGCGTTTCAACTCAGGAGGTGGATCATTACCAGGATTTGAGTGTCTCAAACACCGCCGAAAATCCTAAGAGGAAAAACCAAGTCTTCCCTGAGTATTGTGTTAATTTAATTGGTGGCTGGCAAGTGCTAATTTAACTGGCAAAAGCTTCATTTCTATTCAGCTCATGAAGAAAGGCTGGCTCAAAGTCTTAACACAGCAGGTACAGGGCTCATGTTTGTGTCATTTAGCTGTGTAATTGGAACACTGCAGTGTCCTTTCCTGCAATATGTTTTGTGTTCTAACTACCATGACCGGGGTTTTCGCAGGATGGCCATTTTAAAGATGAACAGGGAGTGATTTTAATGTGTGAATCAGCCTGTAAAATCAGCAGAAACTGAAAGTGGTGGCACCACAGAGCCACCTTTCTCCAAATTAAGTTTCACGCTCTGGACTATTGGGCAATTTCTGCCACAAATCAAAACTCGTAGTCACTGTTCTTCTGGGAAATTTATAGGTGTGGTGCTACTCTGCGCTTATTTAAATGGTAGAAGCATAGCAGATTAGTATCAAGGATGTAGCAGGGTGGGAGAAGGAGAAAACTTTCAGTATTCACTTTTCAAGGCGTTAATGATATTAAAACCTGGATTGCAACGGTAAGGAAAAAACAGGCTCTTATCAGGGGGGGGAGGATTGTACCTCAGGGTGGGCTCCGTTTGTATCCAACTCTGTGCAGCTGATGTCTTTAAAAATCTTGTTGTCCTCTTAAAAATTTACATTTAAATTTTGAAGCAGCAATATTTAAAAAACAAAAAAGGGTTAGGAATGGCTTGCATTTTCAGCCACAGCTGAAAAAAAAGTCACATAGTTAAAAGTGTTAGAGCACAGAAATGATGAGCTCTTTTCAAAACAGTGTTTGCAGCTAACCAAAGATCAGTGAGTGAAAACAAGTATTGATCTGCAGCTCAGCTCTCACAGTTACATTGTTTGCTTTGTAGTTATTGGTCCCGCTAGTTATTATTATCATTCCTTACACAATGATGTAGCTCAGGGTTTTAAGATTTCAAGGACTCGGGGTGACGTTCATGACTGTCATAGCAATTTTTCACGCTCTGAAATGTAATGGCTCTGAAATCTAAGCAGGCCTCGAAGTTTCACTTAAAAAAAACATCACTTTATCTCAGTGGCAGCATAGCAATGGAAATATCAGCATATAACGATTCACTGTGTTTTACTCTTTATCATAGTCAGATCCACAGGAAAAAACAAATAGGCTCAAGCACTCTGACAATATTATGGTATATGCCTGGTATATCAGGATATTTAGAAATCCCCAAATCATTTGAAATACCATCAAAACTACAGACCTTCTGCTTTCTATTAAGGTCATGTGATGTATTGTAGTGTAGTCTACTTCAAAGCATGCAGCTTTTTAGCACCAGCAGCTGAGACCCAAAGATGGTGACTGTGAGAGATCGAGGGCAATGCTGAGTGATCAGTTTAAAGAAATGTCTCTGCCTCTCTCTGTATGGGAGCATTAGTTATTTCCTGATGATAAAGGTGAGCTAGCTGATATATTCCCACTTTTAATTTCTTCCAATTAAAAGAGCAGTTTAGTGCCATGAGTTTCTCCCAGAAGAATGCAAGGCAAAGGGTGCTTTTATTATACCAGAAAAAGCTCTTTCCAGTGCAAATGACTATGTCGAGTCGTGAAAAAGAAAGTTTTCACATGACTGTGTGCAGTCCTGTAAAAAACTAAGTCCTCCCTATCATTTAGCAGCTTGTAGAACCACCTTTAGCTTGAAGTAACTGTTTCCTGTATGGTTTCATGAGCCTCTCACATCATTGTGGGAGGCTCTTCTTTACAGTGTTGCTTCATTTCATTGAGGTTTGCATCCATTCATTTATGTACAACTCTCTGAAGGTTCCACCACAGCATTTCAGTCAGTTTTAGCCAAGCTTTACTCACATTTTGCTCTAAAATATTTTGGTATACAGAGCAGAACATGGCCCATTAAATCACAGCAAGCTGTCCAAGACAACGAGCACAAATCATAACAGCACCACCACCGTGCTCGATAGTTCAAATGAGGTGTTTGTGCTGATATGCAGTGTTTGGTTTACACCAGATGTGCCGCTGTGCATTATGGGCAAACAGCTGCACTTTGGTCTCGTCTGTTCAAAGGACATTGATGCAGAGGTCTTGTGGTTTGTTCAAACATAAGCTGTGCTGCCATGTTCTTTTTAGAGACAAGAGGCTTTCTCCTGGCAACACTTCCAAACAAGCCATGCTCATTAAGTCTTTTCCTAATTGTACTGTCATTAAATAAACCTTTAATATGCTAACTCAGAGTCTGAGATGTTGCTGTTTCTCTAAACACTGCACAGTCTGACCTTGGTGTGAATTTGCTGGTGTGTCCACTCCTCGGACGATTGGAGCATTCACATCCACGTTAATAGACCAACAAGGTACCAAATATGGTTCTGTTATAGAGGTCCTCACACTTGCAGATGATCAATTAATCAAGTGCATTTAATTAACATCACCTGGCTGGTACTTGTACTCTTAATTCCTATGGAAGCAGTAAAGGTGGACTTTTTCCCCCCAACTTTATCAAATCCTGCAGGTAACATGGAACTATTCTCCATACGCACATCCACTGAACAACAGAGCAAAGAGATGGTGTCCTACTTCTACCCTGAGCTGAAAGTAATGTAGTCTATACCTTAAGAAGAGAAGTGAATTACCATTAACTCAATCCATAAATGAGTGATCATAAGCAGACGGATGATAGATGAACAAATAAAGGAGTCTAAAAGTACTGTACAATAACATTTGCCTGAGCATATCCTAGGAGCAATCCAGAAGGTGTTTATTTCTCTTTCTTTTACTTTCTCTGCCATTTTTCTACAATAACTTACAATCAGTGTCATTTGGTAGATTACATGACAAAAGTCCTACAACGACTTCAAGAACAAAACACAAATCTCCCAGAGTAATGATTCTCCTCAGCGTGAGATGCTGTAGACTTTTTCATCTGTTCAAATTGAATCGTGAATCGAGTATGTGGAGGATGAGCAGAGGTTTAAAAATATAAAATTATAAGAGAACTATAAACAGTGTAATAAAAAAGCGGCACTAGCCCACATTAGAGTTTTTTTTTCCCTCTCATCCCTGCGGTATAACGCATCGCAGGCAGCGCAGGTTACTGCTGTCACCTTTGAGGATGTCTGTGTTTATCTGTATAAAAGATACAGTTTAAACTGTTACCTCTTGCTGCCATTTGGGGCTCTAAATGTGCAAAAGTCATTGTTGCGTCTCAGCATATTTACATGTCAGACACTGTTTTTCTTGCTGAGACGTGCTCCAAACCGACTCTATTCCCCACTGGGTTCCGAGCTTTGTGGTAGCCCGTCGCTGCGTGGTTTATATTTTGAACTCTCGAGGTGCTTCTGGGTGCATTCGATGCATTTATGATACAACCATACAGGTCAGAATAGCTGAGTTCCTAGTTTATGTTGTGCTGTTTTCCCGAAAAGCTAAGCAAAGGTGAAGAAGAAAGCGTGACCCCCCGCTGCTTTAAGCAGCCTGCAGAAAGATCTGAAACTTAAGAAACTTGTTTCTCTGACTGAGTTCAAAGGTGTGCAAGATAAATCCGCTGGGAAATGCTGATGCTTTGAACAGGTTGTTGTTGTGTGTTTGGATCATAAACCTCTTCTCATTCAACTCTCTAGTGTGGTTACGTTACTGGGAGAGATGTACTTAATAATATAATTTGACTATAACGTAGAAATGAGCCATCTTTGAAAATTCTTTATGTTCAAAATGAAAGTGAGGATTCTAATGAATTGAGACAAGTAAATGTTTGAAACATCAAATATAATAAGGAGAACAATAACAGATTTATCACCTGGACGCCGCTGTGAAGCATCTGACGTTACCAAAGCTGGTCTCTGTCAGCAGAAATCTGTCAAACAACAAAAGAAAATACAGTCACCACGTGATAATTACCTCAATCTGTTCCCAGATATCACTCATCTCAGAAGCCTGGACCACTAAAAGCAAAAAATGATTACAAAGATGTATGTATATATATATAATATAAAATAATCCCATTTTGAGGTCTCGACAAATCCCTTAATCAATAGCCCCAGGCTCCAGGCTCCCGGCTCCCGGCAGGTGTGGTGCAGGCAGTTTAAATAATTAAGTACATGGAGAGAGGCAGAACTGAAGTCTACGGGTCATCATAACACAGTGAAGGATACGGGCATCACGTTACAACGTTAAAAGCAGGTAATTGGAGTGAGTAATTGGCCAGTTTGGGTGCTTGAAGTGGCCTGAAAGTGCTAAGGAGACATGGCAGCCCATTGATTACAGGCCCCAGGGGGTCCAAGCACCGACTGCAAACATCAGTTTTTAGGTAAAGGCAGAAGAGACGACGGTAATAGAAGCCGCAGCCTGTTGACCTTGTAGAGCTGAAGTGGGTTAGGTCAGATTCAACAGGTTTGGATGTGGCACCAGTGAAGACTTGTGGGTTAACCTTACCTTAGTGGTTTTGATCTTGTTTCCTGTAGCACAGCTCCAACCTTTCAGATCAGGAAGAACTTTGCATTCCTCCCCATCAAGGCACGGATGCATCTGACACCACCACTTCTGTTCCACTATTGACGCTAACAAAAAGACATAAAGGTCAAAGAACAAATAGGTGGAAATCTCTTTGTTCACAGTATTATGGTTAGGAAATACTGATAAAGGACTAGACTGTCGTGCTTATTTCTTTTTTTCACTTTTGAATGATAAAGTTGGTTTAGCTGCTAATCCAGAGCTCATTTCACATTTCACTGACATTGTGTCCCTGCAGATTTGCTAACTTAACATACTGTTTTAAAAAAGAGTAGTTAATATATTTATAGATGGATATAATCAACAATCCCACTAAAAGTCAAACACAAACAGGTAACAAATAACCAGGAACAAGATAGCTGTAATGGATTATGAGTGTAAGGCAAACTCTTCTCTTAATTTATTTTGCATTTATAAAGATTTGCCACTGCACACACTCTTCAGATGTTCATGGTTGGTTATCTTTCTGTTGACAAAGACCTCAGTCACACACAGACCTGTTGGGCCATTTGTCAACCACTAGCTCGCAGTGGTTTTGTTGATTAGTCAGACAGTTGGTTTAACATGTCAAAATAAGGTAAAAAAAAAATGCTTGTAATAAATCCACGGCAGACTCGCCACATTTCCATCATTTTCAGCATACTTTATTATTATTTCACACACTCAGCTGCAGCTCTCCCGCTGCCAGCTGCACACATCACCCACAACAACCACACACTCAGGACCCAGTACTATTTATGCAGGGCGGTGTGATGAGCTGCATCGGCTTCTCCTGCAGCCGTGTCACAAACATGTCTGCCACAATGTACTCAAAAACCTAAAGTAGGTGATTCTTTGTTGAATATTGCTAACTAATAAAGAAGAAAACCATGTTTACCATCACACATTTAGAATTCATAAATGTTTTGTTTTTATATTAAAAGTCATTTGCATTTTATTTTGCAATTTCATTTCGACACCGTTTTTGTTTAGGTCTCAAGAACATTTCCACACAACGTTATGAGCCTGAGATGAAGCTTCCCATCGGATATAAATCAAATCATCATACCTGTCTCTCAGCAAGCCATGTCACCTTCCGACAGCTGTCTTAAATGATGTAAGATTTGCTTTTTGACTGGCAACACTCACCTCTATTTCAGGTATTCAAACAATCTTGTGACAAATCTGATCCACGTGTAAGGGTGGGACAGGAACTACGAACAGATGTGACTTCAGTCATGTAAATGGAAATCACTGAGTTGCATTGAGAACACCAACTCATCTGCCTCTGCAACAGTGAGCATTAAACCGCTAATGCTGAGTTCTACAAGACATTATTTAAATTTGGCTTATTACAGAGGTCATTATCCACGTTCCACAACCCCCTTCACTGCTGTTAGTGTACTTCCTAATGAAGAGAATGGGTATTATAATCCACATATACCGCTGGAGCCTCACTCCATTAAATTACAGAGAATGGAGAAGTTATGACATGAGGGAATCAATTTGAATTACACAGCTGGGGTTATGGCAGCAGTGTGGTGTAAAAAGTGCATCAGGTCAACTGCAAGCAGATGGTGGTTGTGTAACAGCAGCTATTAAAAAGCCACAAAGGTTTCTCGTGAAATGAAATGGGAGTATTGATGAACAAACATACCAAAAGTGTATGGGATACATCTCACTTAACAGGTAATGATGCCGTGAAGGCACGAGGGCAGCTCAGAGTGAAAACATCTGGGAAAAAGAATTAAAGTTATGCTTTATTTTTCCTTGATTGTTTTAGAGTAGCCATAAAAATGCCTTTGAATCAATGCACTGACCTTGGGTTTATACTCATAAATGATCACACTGGAGACACGCAGATCTGACTTCAAATCCTTTAATTTTCACAAAAATCGAGTGCACCTTATAATCCGGTGCGTCTTTTGTAGGAATTCTGGATGTGATTACTGATCTCGAACTGCTTTTATGATGTACACGGCGCTCAAAATCTGTCAAAAGATGTTTTAGTATGACTTTGGTAAGATACGAAGCTGCACCGCTTGATGGATTGTCGGAGCACTACGGCTACCATAGTCAGGAGCCTCGCGGAGTAATCTGGGTCCAAAACTGGCAACACAGTGAACACCAGCAAGCACTGCAGACACTGCAAAGCCTTGATAATCGCCCATTATCAGATTATCAAGGCAAAGATGTAAAAGCCTGTTTTGTTAAGTGGCTATACAACAATATGGTAGTACAAAATCCATTCAGTAAAGTTTTCGGGTATCTTTTGTAGCTGCCTCTCTAAAATTACACCTTCAGATCTCTTCAAGTTTTCTCAGATGTCTGCAGGTTCATTTATCTTCATATAAAGTGGAGATTGTCTCACACTGAGTGCAGCTAAAGGTAATCCCTGGTTGAGGAAGAAAGAATAATTAAAAGGTTAAGTGCTGATCATTCTTCTCTGAGATCACCCATGGAGCTTTAAACTGAGGCCAGTGGCTCACAGCTCTAATTTGCAGAAAATGTCAATACTAAAATGTCAAGGAATAGGTCAAACACGACTGGGTCCAGAGTTTAGCCAGAAATCCGTGCTTTTCAAACCAAAGAGAAGCAGCCACTTCAGCTGACACATTAGCATGCTAAGAGACCTTCTGGGTCATCGACTTTACAGTCTGCATTGGACAGCGTCACATTCATTTATCAGTCACTTTAAAAACCCTTCAGGAGAGTCTCTGCAAAGCCCTGGGGTTCCATCAAACTGTGAGAATATTTCAATGAGTTTTAATTACACGTTCATTGTGTATTCCACAGGATGTATCAAGCACAGAAGCAGTTACAAAGTGTTTTGAGGATTTTGAGCTTTAGTTGAATAAAACGAGTCATAACTATGCCATCTTAGGCGTTGGGAAGCTGATATAACTGTGTGTCTGTTTTCTTCATTTTATAAATGGACTACAAAAACAGAACAATGTCTAAAACGTATTGAAAAAAGGGGATATGTGTTGGTTCATTTCTCTGTGCTGTGACTGATAAGAAATTGTACTCTTTTAGCATATTCCTTCAATAGTAGACTTGGTACTGTATGTACTGGCATTTATCACTGACCTCAGCAAGTCTCCCTCAAAATCTGTGGGATGGAGTATCAGCAAAAAAAAAAAAAAAAAAAAAGTTAACACTGCCAATGAAATATTGGGTTACTGGAACATACCATCTACGCACGATGGGGCAGCTCTGGTGGTGCCTGCCACTTGTCCGGGAAAGCAGGAGCACTTCACAGTTTGCGACCGCTCCTCAATTTTGTTCTTGTTGCAGCAGCGGTGCAACGCCACCACCTCGCAGGTGCCAGTTCGAACATGGTGGGCTGCTGGGGAAATGATAGAAAAAGTCAGTGCTCATTGAATGATTCACTGTAGTTTGAACACTCATTTGAAGCTGCACTGCTGGCCTTGGATTGAATCCCAAGATAATATCTCTCTTTGGTCTTTCATCTGTGGGAACGATTAGCCTGAAAGCAAAAAGGCCACTAATTTCCTTAAAAGAGCTCATTTATCACAGGCTTCTCTCGTTATGTGAACAGTACCAGTCTATAAATTTGTATGATTCACAAGTGACAGCTTTAACAAGAAACAAAGGCCAACATATGCTATATAATTTGCATATCATATAGTGACCCCAGATTCAGCTTTCTAAGGCAGGCTTTCTGCTTTGTGAAGTAACCCTAATGTGTTAGGCTCCAGTTAAACAGTTACATTTCAACTCATATATATATATATATATATATATATATATATATATATATATATATATATATATATATATATATATATATATGATTTAAGATCTTAGAAGACCACTAAAATTGTTATTGTTCTCTTTACTGCTGTGTTTTTCAGATTGGCTAACCAGCAGGGTATTAGCTGGTTTGCTGACCTGTATGTAGATTTGGCTGTTGCTTCTTCTATTCACTCAACCAGTTTCTAGGAAAAAGTATTTTAATGAGGTGGCATCTTTCTTTGGTGTCAGTTTTTCAACAGCTCCGAGTGAATCACTGGCAGCCCCGGTGTCTGGTTTAGTAGAGAAGGGGATTGTTAACTTGCTAGCATTTATCAAATATCCTAGCTTGGCAGGGGCTGACGTGGTGGCTATACTAGACGTGTTTCCCTATTGTCAGGGTAGACTATAGTACTGCCTGCTTCTGCACCTGTTGTACAGGTACTAACTGAGAACAGGCCGATGACACGCCTCCACTTTGACTCACTTTCTGCAGTCTTCACTTGGCTATGGCTAATGCTAGGTTGATGTTGTCTAGCATGCTTCCAGCTGAAGAGGGAGGAGTGTGATAGGGATTTCCAGTTTAAGAAAGAGTTGGAGTTGCAGAGGTGAAGTTGAAATAACGGCACCTGGAACCCCATCAATGTTCTTTGTGTGGCTCCCGCTGCTCTGCAGTCTAAGCTGGCATTTAATAACACTCTCAATTTTTTGTGACACTAAAATGGATACTTTGCACTTTAAATCTGATGAACAAATAGGTACAGGTACTGCCCTGGCTGCAGGATGTGTGGGCCATGATTCTGCAATGTAAATTAGTATACAAGACTCGAGAAATTTGTTCAGCCCTATCAGCTGAGGATACTTTTAACAATAAAAACTTAAAAAGTGCCATCCTGTTAGTCTGTGAACTTGTCCAAGAAGCAGGCAGCGCTTTCTGGGCCTAAGGAAGACATCAAAGCCAGGCCTGTCTTGATTTTGCAAGGTAGAAGGGTATTGTTTTCGATTGGTGGGTTGTAAGGCTGCTGGCTTTAATGCAAAAGGTGTCGTGACTACAACAATCTGCCATACTCGCTTCTGAGTTCACCGGGACCCACAAAGCTTCTAAGTATGATCAGCCCACAGAATAGTGTGCCAGTTGCATGTCCAACCCTAAGTCACAGAGAAAGGATTTCTTTTGTTTTAAGGCTGAATGTGAACAATATCAATGAAAACAGTCAGTTTCAGCTCAATTTCTTTTTTACACAACTTGTACGTGAATCATCAAATCATCTTTTACAGGTAAAATGCAGAAGGCTGCACTTTTATACAGAGCATGAGGCATATGTCGTGTAATACATACAAATGACTGATAATAATTGTGTATATCTGAGAAGTTTTCCATGTGGGAAAGTCACTCAATATGTTATGATTATGAAACACTAAAAAAAATAGCCTTTGTTTTGTTTTCATGAAAAGTCCTTAGATAGCCCTGATGGTCAGAGTCCCTTTAAGATCATTACTTACTTAAGTTTGGCTCTGAAGTCTGATTGCTGAAACTGTAATCCAGCTCTTTACAGAGGATAATATGGTGACCAGTCAGCCTCTGGCATCATTTGCACAATAAATATAATCGTAAATATGTCTATGTAAAAATAGAAAATGGCACTGTGTATATGAAGAATTACTCAAGTATGATGCTGTTCTAGATTTATCCCAGCAAGCAGCATTCTGTCGAAACAAAAAGCAAACAAACAAACAAACAAAATCAGGTCTGTGAAGGCAAAAGTGCAGCACTGCAGTATGTGGAGCCAATTTCCAGATCACGCTCTATTGTCTGAATTATTTAGAGCCTGAGCTGCTCCATCCTCTTTTAATTGCATGTGACATTTTCATGAGGTGTCCTTCTGCTGAGATACACACTGCTGCCGCTGCGGTAAACAGTAAATCTGAAACGACTGCATGAAACTGGTCCTAACAGTCTGTACTCGAGCAACTCAACTAAGCCTGGTTAATTTCATTTTCACTTCAGCGTGTTACGTCTGTGGACAGCAACAGTTTGGCTGCTGTAACAAGCAGCTCTAAAGGTGATAGAATCAGCTGCTTTTCTGAGACCGAATGATATTAAATCTGACAACACAAAAGCATCTGTTATCTTATTTGAGTTCAGAAAATATGACTTTTACTGAGGCTCTGATATTTGCTGCTCCATGTTTTTGGTTATCTAATCTCTACAAAGTGATAGGATCAAATATTTCACACATATTATACATGTTATCATCGGGCAAAAAAACCCACAATACTTAAAATACAAAAAGCAAAGAAACAACAACACAGGAAGAGCAAGGGGACGTCCTGTTTTTGATTATGCGTGTCTGCTCTATCCTCACCATCCTTTCTCAAATCACCAGGTAGGTAGCCATCCAAAAGTAGCGGGATGCTTACTGCAAATAAGAAAAAAAGATATGAAAGACAAACACACAGTAAGCTGAGCTGCTTTAGGTCTTTGTGCTGCCAGCGGCTACATACTGAGAAGCAATGGTGTTTCTGACTGGATTTAGAGTTCTTTTTGGATGCCTGCTCAGCGCACACTGCCAGCAGATACAGAGAAAAGCATTTCACTCAGGAATCATTCAGTCCTCCTCACACAGAGTCCATCTTTTAGCCTGCTGTGCTCCGCTTTGACAGAGAGGATCCCTCTGGCTCCGGATACACCACAGCTGCTGCTGCCGCGGTTATGTTTTTAGATTCGTCCTTCAAAATTTTATAGCACCAGCATCATGCCATGAAATTTAAATAACAGGATGCAGGGACTCCCTGATGGCTAAGCATGTCATGTAACTGCATCGTCCCCAGTCTGACTCTGGCTGGGGACTTTTGTTGCTTGTTGTAGCCTTTTCTCTTGTCCTATATGTCCTGTCTGCATCTCAACTGTGGTTCTATCCAAAAATGGCAAAAATGAAAACAGCCATGCATGAAAAACTAGACAAGCCTTTTTGAGAAGGACGCTGGAAACTATAAATATTTATGAGTGAGTACTCATAACTACTTATAGAGTAGGTAGTACTTCTTCTGTGAAGACATTAGTGGTGTGTGATACTGCATATTTTGGTATCAGTCAAATACCAAGTATATACTGTGATACTGACACAGACTCTTATCCTCTAAAGGCAGTGTATGCAGGGGAGAGTAGCACATTTTTCATTTCCAAACAACAACAATAATTTAACATAATTCATTTGGCTACATCCTGAACTTGGGGAACAGAAACAAAGTATTGATCTTGTCACACTAGTATCAATATGATACCAATACCAGCCTTGATATCAATACCTCGATCAATCTGCCCGCCTCTAGCAGACACATTGTTGGAATTGAGATAAGTGAGAGATGCAAGAGAATGTTGGTGTTCCAATTACAGCATAAAGAGAAATAAAGTTAGGTTATACTAACAGCAGGAAAATTTCCAGGTTTTTTTAAGTTATGGCGAGCAAGGTAAGACCAAGAATGAGGAGGCTTTGGACCTAACCACACCAAACTGTCTACTTTAATGCTTATAGTTTAGTAAAATGTGACGTAGTCACCCAGAAACAGCTATAAACTAAGAAAATCACTGCATTTCAACCAAATCCCTGATTTATTTTTTTTTAACATAATGAAGTCATTTTTAATGCCTAAATCTAACCAGTTGATACATTTTGAATAAACAACATATTTTTAAAAAATGACAGTTAAAAATCTGTGATGTGTTTTAGTTGAATTGAGATGATTCTCCAGCAACTGCAACTCCAATCGCCAAAGTTGAAAATATTCATTTTTTCCAACATGAAATACTACAAACGAGCTGGGGCTGGTGCTGGATTGTGTTCTGGGATGCGAAACTAATTCAGAAACAGGACAAGACAATAAAAATCGTGTCCAGAATGATGAACCAATAGATATAATTCAGACAATACCTTATAATTACTGTATATTATTTAACCACTGTAAAGATCGAACCAACACATCGTCACGATGTACACTTGAGGACTGTTTATTGAAGCATCACACGTTTTTATGGTTCGGCACCATGTTCGCTAACTTTCCAGTTAGTCGTCTGCACACACGCACGCACGCACGCACACACTCCCCCCCCCCCTCTCTGGTCTCCGGCTTTACTATATAAAAAGAGAAAAACCTCATTAGGCAAATCATCTCCACCTGTCCCTCCAGCCTTGGCTCTGCCCCCTTGAGCTCACTGCGCCACTCCTCCCCTGCAGCTGACCACACCTCCACCACAACCATATTTAGCCACATTTATAGTTACATATTAGAAGAACTATTTTATTTTATTTTTTTTAATGGAAAGCAGTGATTTTCTAAATGGAAAAATATCAACTGAACAAGTACAGATAAAAATAAAAAACAGTATTATTATTACTGAACCTATGCAAATGTTCTTACATGAATTTTTCTGATGTGAAAATTGTTAATTATATGAAACATTCACTTTCTTAACAGGAGTATCCCACAGACACATAGTACCTGCTAATATGTGCTAATTAACATAAAAATAAGATGCAATTTTACTCAAAAATGGAACATAGGCCAACTGGAGGGGCTAATGTGGCTGTAAAC